GTCGAGAAGGCCGAGACTGGAGGGGCGCGTAAGAAAGAGCCACAGACATCCCTGAAGGAGGGGTCTGCCGCGGGCTGCTCGGCGCTGGGTTGATTTCACCAGCAATGGAGGGTGTCACGGCCTCCGTTTGCCAGAAGCTGGGGATGGGCCGCGGGAGAGGGGTCACTTGATGATTCCCTCTGGGGGCACCTGGCATTGGCCTCTGTTGGAAGATGGGATACTGGGCTGTATGGACCTGTGGTCTGACCCAGTGTAGCTGTTCTTATGTTAATCCTACTTTGCTTGGGAAGGTGGGTTTCACCCTGAGACAAATTAGACTCAGATGGTTCCCCTCCTTCCTACTGGGAGCTCCCTCCCCCATCCTGGGGCAGCCTAGACTAGAAGGGAACACCAGCCCCTTTCCCTCTCCCCTGCAAGTCTTACTACTACAGGGGATACCTACCGCGGGGCAGAGCCACCACCTTGTTCCCTATGGAGGCTTCTTAACTACATTCTAGAGTTATTTTTCCCTAATAACCCCATGCAAACCAAAGTGCTTCATACCCTTAAGCTATGTCTTCGCTGCTGCGGAGATTGACGTGGCAGTCAATTTTCTGGTGTTTTATTTAGCAAGTCCTTTCTAGACCTGCTAAATTAAATTCTGGAAGATCGACTCCCACAATGTCAATTTCTGCAGCAGTCGCAAGGGAAGCTGACAGGAGCATTTTTCTCATCGACTTCCCATTGTGGGGACGATGATGAAACATGACGTAAGATATGTTGGCTCCAGCTATTTTTTCCCATCAACCTCCCATTGTGGGGTCGATGATGAAACATGATGTAAGATGTGTTGGCTCCAGCTATGTTGTTTTCGTAGCTGGAGTTGTGTACCTTAAGCCAACCTTCCATCTTTAGTATAGATGAGATCTTAGCAGAGTTTCTCCATAGGGATGTTAAATTTCAGATTAATTAATCAAATAGTCGAGATTTCCATCAACTATTAAATTAGTGTGTAAGGGCATCTCCACCATTTAACTATAGCAAGAGCCCCACTGGTTTCTTATGACAGTTTGAAAGTGGAAGCCCTGCAAGGATTGTGGGGGCTTCCTTTAGAAATGTGCAAGAGCCCCACAGGGCACGCAGACTCCCCAGCTGCATTTCAAAGCACGCAGAGCCCGGCGTCAGCTGGGGAGTTCCCAGCTGACCCCTGGCTCTCTGTGGCATTTCAAAGCAGCAGCGTAGCATGGAACCTGGGGTCAGTGAAAGATTCTGAGTACCCCACTAACCCCAGGCTCCATGAATGTTCTTGGGGACTCTTGTACATTTCAAAGCTTGCGTGCGGTTGGAGCATGGAGTCAGCGGGACTTCCCGCTGGCCCTGGGCTGCACAGAGAGTTCTGCATTCCTCCTTTGAAATGTACAAGAACCCCAGAAATTCCATCGACTACTCGACTAGTAAATTAGTCGTTAGTTAAAATCCTTACTGATTACTTCATGATTCTATAATCTTATATCTCCCTGTCAGGGGATAGACCCTGGTTCTGCCTATTGTTACCCCATGCATTTCTAAGTGGATGGAATTTTCTGTTCAGTGTTATGATACTGTTCAGGAAATATCAGTGTGCAATGAAGATGGCAATTTGTGTCTTTTCTGTATTTTTTAAGTGAGAAAATCAAAGATAACACTGGCCTCTCTCCTGGCCTCAATTACATGTATTGTTTCTGTGTATTAGTCCTGGGGGAATTCTGCAGTTGCATTTGGAGTAAAATTGCAGTATTGCTTCAAAACTGGTATATGGCTGTTAAAACTGAAAATAGTCTTTCAGTTTTAAAAAAAGCAAGAGATCAAGAAACGATGGTGACTAGACATCATTGCCATCTGCTGTACTTTTTGGCTTCTCTCTATATAAATAATAGTAACATTTAAGGAAAAATAACATGCATTTTCACGTTTATTTCCAGACTTTCCAGGTGTACAAAGCTAGTGCATTTACTGTAATGTATCTGCTTATTCCTGCCTGGGTTATTCACTACTATGTCAAATACCATGTACTGGTAAGTAAAGAAACCTGCATGTTGTATTTGTGTGTAGAAGGTGTATGCTTGACCCTGCAAATGCCATTTACTTCCCTATCTTGGAATAACTTTCACTTTTCTCCTTTTAAATAAAAACATCTACAAAAAACACACCACCTGACATCTGCCATGAAATAAAAACTTAAGGATTACTGCACCGGAGAACTCTTTTCACTTTATTTTTGTCTGAATACACTTCAGTGGTTTAAAAATGTTTCACTTGCAGGATTTTAAAACTATGCACTACTTCTGTTTTTCTGATTCAGTAGACAAATATAATTTGTTGGCATATTTTATCTTGAAGTATACAAAGAAACAAATTTCTGTACTTTTTGAGATGAAGACAACTGTTTTTATTTTCATGCTGCTTAACCAGGTGTTTGACTTACATTTTTCTTTAAAAAAAAAAAAACAAAAACCTTCAGTCCATTCAGTTGCTTGGTTCTTGACACTGTTTTCATCTCTAAAGTCCATTCAGTTGCTTGGTTCTTGACACTCTCTTCATCTCTAGGCATGCTGAGGCATCTTAGGTAGGATTGGTCCTCCCTAGGGCAGGGGGCTGGACTTGATGACCTCCTGAGGTCTCTTCCAGTCCTATGATTCTATGAGCAAATATATGCACTGGGGTTAAGCATGGAGCATTATACCTGCCTGCAATATTGATACTACAGTTAAAATAAGAAAAAACTGCTTTATGAATGGGCCCAGATTATAGAAGTTGGGAGCTCTGTATATTCTGGAAATTGGCCTCTTCCCATCTTTGGTAAACTAGACAGTAAAGTTCACCTGCCTTGTACTTATCTGACCCCACCCAACTCTCTGAATGCTTCTCACATCCCACATACATGCCAGCAAACTAGACAGTAAAGTTCACCTGCCTTGTACTTATCTGACCCAACCCAGCTCTCTGAATGCTTCTCACATCCCGCATACATGCCAGTAACCATTTAGTAGCCTCAACAGACATGCCAGTAGCCCTGACATAGATCCTATCCATTGTAACCCCACATGCCACAGCCTTTCTGGCTCCCTCCAGTTTACTTGATCTATCAACAAGCTGTGACAGGTAATTGTGCTGAGTATCTGTGGCCTGTATCTAGTCACCAATGACTCCAGTGTAACCACTGAAATTACATGCATTTTAATCTCTCTGCTAGGTACAGATTGAGGCAATTTGCTACATCGTGGTAGTCATTGACTTGAAGGGGGGGGTCCTCCACTTTCCCCCCTAGCCACCCTGCTGCTGCCTGGGACTCTGCTTTCCCCATTGGGGGGTGGGTAAGGGAAAGGGATCCGCTCTTGTCTCCTGGCAGTTACGCTGCTGCTGCCGTGGTGTGGACTCCATGCTCCGCCCAATGGCCCCGCTGCCACCAAGGATTCTTTCCCAGTGGCCCCACTGCCACCAGGAGCTCTGCACTGTGCCAAGCAGCCCCACTTAAGTCAGCTCTGCACTGTGCCTACCCTAATCTGGCAATGCTCCTGGCCTCACAGGGTCACCCCAACAATGCCAAACCAGGGATGCTGCGGAACTAGAGAAGTCTAGATTATAGTGTGTCAATCTGTATAAAATCATAGTCATAGAACACTAGAACTGGAAGGGACCTCAAAAGATCATGGAGTCCAGTCCCCTGCCCACACGACAGGACCGAGTACCACCTGCTGTGTCCCCTGCCCACACGACAGGACCGAGTGCCATCTAGACAGACATCTATCAGGGATGGTCTAACCTGCTCTTAAATATCTCCAGTGATGGAGATTCCACAGCCTCCCTGAGTCATTTATTCCAGTGTTTAACCACCCTGAGAGTTAGGGCATTAGGAAAAAGTTCCTATCTAAACCTCCCTTGCTGAAGCCCATTGCTTCTTGTCCAATCATCAGAAGCCAAGGAGAACAATTTTTTCACTCTTCCTTGACTACACCCGCCAAGGAGAACAATTTTTTTCCCTCTTCCTTGATACACCCTTTTAGATACCTGAAAGATCTCAATCTTCTCTTTTCCAAACTAAACAAGCCCAATTCTTTCAGTCTTCCTTCATAGGTCATGTTTTCTAGATCTTTAATCATTATTATGGCTCTTCTCTGGACCTTCTCCAATTGCTCCATCTTTCTTGAAATGTGATGCCCAGAACTGGACCCAGTACTGCAATTGAGGCCTAATCAGCACAGAGTAGAGCAGAAGAATAACTTGTTGTGTCTTGCTCACAGTACTCCTATTAATGCATTCCAGAATCACGTTTGCTTTTTTTGCAACAGCATCACATTGTTGACTCATATTTAGCTTGTGTTCTGCTATGACCCCTAGATGCCTTTCTGCAGTACTCCTACCTAGACACTTGCCTCCCATTCTGTATGTGTGAAACGGTTTGTTCCTTCCTAAGTGGAGCACTTTGCATTTGTCCTTATTAAACTTCATCCTGTTTACCTTAGACCACTTCTCCAGTTTGTCCAGATCATTTTAAATTATGACCCTATCCTCCAAAACACTTGTAACCCCTCTCAACTTCGTATTATCTGCAAACTTAATAAGCATACTCTCTACGCCAGTATCTAAATTGTTGATGAAGATCTTGAACAGACCCCTATGGAATCCCACTTGTTACACCCTTCCAACAGGATAAGGAGAATATCAAGGTTATTAATTTCCCATTTAACTTTCTAGAACAGCTAGGCTGGATTCTCAGTCTTGAAAAGGTAACACTTTTAGCATCCGAAAACTTGGAAATGCTTACATAAATGTTTCAAAGCAATAATTGCAAATGGAAAAATCCATTAAGTTGCATTTAGTTTATTCTGGAGGAAACCAGATTTTTCACAACCCATGTTAGAGCTACATGTTGTAATTAATGTTTGCAGAGTATATCCCCCTTATGTCTGGACAATTTGATATTGGTTCCTCTGTATCTGAGTGGGTAACCTAAGGGTCACATCTAATCCATGGCTTAATTTGCTCAGACCCAAGGAAGTCTTCGCACCATGGGCCAGAAGCCCCAAACCACAGCACTTCCCTGCAGGTCTGGACTGCAAGCGATGGCTCATTCCACTGTAGGGAGAAGCCCCAAGCCTCAGTGTTCTCTTTGTGGGGCTGGAACATGGCATGTGCCAATTTAACTATGATGTTGTGAAGGGCGTTGTGAGTTTTGTTTTTGCTTCCCGTTTCTCCCCCCCGAGAGCTGATGAGTAGTGAGGGGTATTTGGTGTTTTGTCTTTTGCTTCTGATGAGTAGTGAGGGGTATTTGGTGTTTTGTCTCTTGCTTTTGTGTTGCCCCCAACTGACTCTTCTGTGGGTCAGAGGCCCCTAATGGAAAAAAGGTTCCTCACCTCTGCTCTATATTTGGTAAGACAAGATTAGTTCAATTGTATAAGCCTTAATGATCAAGAGGATAATTTGTTTTGTTTGTAGCTGGCTTGTACTCTGGTCTTTCTCACTGCTGTTTCCTTTAATAGTCACTGACAACAAGCTCCATGCTGTTTGCAGAAGTAATAACACCATCACTGACAGTCAAGATTCACTGAACATTCTCATTAGTACCCAGGAGAGCCTTTTCATAGAGACTGGTTCTGTTAGAGGTGTTTAATTCTCTATACATCTGGTTTTAAAATAAGAATAACCTAGTGGAGAGCCATGCTTAATATTAATTGGATTCAATACTTCACCTGGTTAGTGATGTTTCTAATCAACCATTTTTCATAAAGTTTATCCTGACTATTCTGTATTAATTGGATTCAATACTTCACCTGGCTAGTGATATTTCTAATCAACCATTATTCATAAAGTTTATCCTGACTCTTCTGTTTTTTTATTGCAGAAAAAGCCATATGGTATTGTTGAAGTGAAGCCCAGAATATTCCCAGTGAGTATTAATTAAAATTAATATTTTCTCGTAGCATGTCCGCCTCATAGGTAAAACAGATTGGAAGGCAGTGTATGGGAGGGGAGAAGTTGGTACGCCAACACACAGGAAATAAAAATGATTATTCAGTACTTTGGTTAGTTGGTACAAAGAGTTGTTAAATGCTAAGGAAAACAATGTGATATAGACCTTTAGAAACATCAATATTATCTTTAAAATGGGTAATATACTCCTGAAAGCTTGTTTTACCAACAAAAGCAGTCCAGTAAAAGATATTGCCTCATCCATTTTGGGTCAAGCTTGTTTTACCAACAAAAGCAGTCCAATAAAAGATATTGCCTCATCCGTATTGGGTGTCATGAATATAACAGTACTTTATGCACTTACATATCATATTTTAGACAATGATTTGACCCATCACAAAATATTCACCATGATGTTTCTGATTTCATTAGGGTGACAGAATTCTAGAGACAGGAGAAATAATCACACCAATGGAAGAAGAGTCTACTGGTCATCACTGAAGGTGTTAAACTCTAGCTTTGTTCCTAAACAAATGTGTTAAATATTTCCAGATATGTATATAAAACAATAAAGTTGTCTTTGAGACTCCCATTTTCTTGTTTCCTTCTGGGTGTATCAAAGACCATATCTAGATCCAGCTATAGTGCAGAGAATAAATGGCAAATTTAGAAAGTTACACACCTAGTAACAAACTGTTCATGACTGACTGTATGACATGGACTCTAGTAACAGATTTTTAATCCAATTTACTAGTAGTAATACAATCTTTTTGTCATAATAGGCAACAGATAATCTACATTTTAGCAATGAATTGTATATCTGTAGTCCTATAATTGTATTAATCAAACAGGATGATACAGAGGAGGGGAAAAAAAAGCTCAGCAGGTGCACAAGTGCAATGAAATGTATCCTATAATTGTATTAATCAAACAGGATGGTACAGAGGAGAAAAAAAAAGCTCAGCAGGTACACAAGTGCAATGAAATTTAGAAAGCATTTTGGAAAGTATCTGTACCATTTTTTAAAAAGTGAGTTTTGCCCACAAATCTCATGATTCTATATATTTTGGTTAGTCTCTAATGTAACATAGGACCACTCATTTTTAAAGTTACAGACTATCACAGTTACCACTTCAGTAGGATACTATTGAGAAATGTTAATATTTATATTTCATTTATTGTGGAAGTTCTACCTAAACTGAGCACTCACGCAGTATTGTGAAGTTCATAAACTTTACAAAATGTACAGTTATTTTTTTGCAAAAATGATCTGTATGAGGAGTTTTGGTACAACATGATAGCTTTAATAGTATGAATCAACAGCAAGATAAGTAAATAGAAACAAGCTGTGACAAATAGTGATTTGTACACGTTTCTATGAATGCTCGTTCCTTTCAGAAACTAACATATAGAAACAAGCTGTGACAAATAGTGATTTGTACGTGTTTCTATGAATGCTTGTTCCTTTCAGAAACTAACCTTATGTTAAATACTCAATCCATTTAGTTGATTAGCACCATTCCTAAGCCACCCTTGGATCTGACTATTTCTGAAGGTTAGAACATAATGTCACTAGAAGATAATGTGAGTTATGTTACAGCAGGGGTGGGCAAAAGTCTCTCAGCAGGCTGGATCCAGCCTGCCTTGGGCTTTGATCTGGCCTGTGAGGCAAGTCCAGGCCCTGCCCCCTAATCGGCATGTGCAGCAGGAGAAAGAGCTCAGCCCCACCCCTCCTCCCCCCTCACAGCCTCTGGAGAGGAGGCAGCGCTGGGGTTGAGGCTTCTCAACAGGGCCAGCCCCAGGCTGCGTGGCCGTGGTAGAGGCACCTGTGGGGCTGGCCCCGGGCCATGTTCGGGTGTGTCTGGGTCGGCCCTGGGGGTGTGTGAGCGTGCTACCAGCGCCTCCAGGGCCGGCTCCAGAGCATGCACCTCTGGTTTCTGGGGCGGCCTGGGGACACGTGGTTGAGATGCCTCTGGGGCTGGCCCCAAGATGTGTGGCCACGGCACTGGCACCTCTGGGGCTGCCCGGGGCACCTCTGGGTGCATGATCATGGCAGCTGCACCTGCAGCCCTGGGTGGGCTAAGACTGTGGGGAGAGGGGGCGGAGCCTGTCTGCAGATGAGCCCCGGGGGCTGCCGGGAAGGGAGGAAGGCAGGAGGGAGGGAGGGAGGGAGGAGAGCTGGGCGCCGCCCAGAGGGACCCCGGCGCCCCACCACCACCTGGGGCGAGGGAGGGTAGGCCGGAAGAGGCACGCGGGGTGGGTGAGTCGGTCGGTCTCGCTCCGGTCGCCGTGAGCGAGGAGAGGGTGGCGGAGGGGGGGGGGGGGGGGGGGTCCATAAAATCCACTAACTCTAGAACACCAGAAAAGTAAATCTGGGCTATGGAAAGCCCTGAACCTCAGTTCTCTCCTTCCCTTCCCCTCACCTCGTGAGGCTGAGGCACCAGAGGAGTGAGGTCTCTCATTTGGGGCTACATCAGTGAGCGTTGGGGGATTTTGGAGAAGTCTTTTGCTTCTCACTTGTATGGCCCCCAACTGATTCTTTTGAGGATCAGTGACCCCAGATCTAAAAAGGGTTCCCCAACACTGACATAGAGAAAACATTGAAATCTTCTGTGTTGGACATAATATTTTACTTTATTTAAAACTAGCAGAAATACCGGTCTTCGCCTGGGGAAAATATAGTAAAAAGTGTGATATTTCATTGGAAATATTTTTCTCTTATATATTACTTTAAGAAATTAACATAGCTAATGATGTGCTTACAAAACAACAAATCCCATAGGGTCTCTTTTCTCAATGCCCACAAATCAGGAAGGCCCATCTTCCCTTAAAGCAGTGGTCACCAACCAGTAGATCGGGATCTACTGGTAGATCTTGGAGCTTCTGACAGGTGATCTTGACTAGTTTGACCCAGAGGCTATCAAGTGCTGGCACTTCAACTGTCCCTCCCCCCACTGCTGCTCATGTCCTGCCCTTTGCCTTGGAGCTGCCCCTCCCTAGGGGGAGCCCCCTGCTTGCTGGGCAGGGTTGGGGAGGGAGAGGAGTGCTGATGTCAAGGTGCCCCCTCCCACTCTGTATCCTTTCTCCACAGAGCAGAGAGGGGGCACAACAGGACCTGAGATAGAGCAAGTTTGCTGGCTGCTTTAAAAAGTGGGCCAGGGCAGGGGTGAGCCTGCCTTAGCCCCACGGAACCACCAGCAGTGCCCAGAAGGAGCCCACATCCTGAACTCCTACCCCAGTCATGAATCTTCTACTGCACCCCAAGCTCCTGCCCTAGCCCAGAGCACTCCTGCATCTAAACGCTGTCCAGAGCCTGCACCTAGAACCCCTTTCTGCATACAAACTGCTCCACCTGAGCAACTTAGAGCCCCTCACACTCCACATCTCTGAATCCAAGACCAGAGCCTGCACCCCAGCCCTCTGCCCCAGCTGATGAAAGTGAATGATGATGGGCAAGGAAGGGAGAATAGAATGAGCAGCAGCAGGGCCTTACAGAAGGGGCAAGAAGGAGGTGGGGCAAGAGTATTTACATTTGAGGTAGATCTTGGATTGCACTTAAATTCAAAAAGTGATCTCACACTTAAAAAGGTTGGAGACCACTGCCTTAAGGACTCTATGCAAACCAATGCCTACAGCCTCCTTGCCAGAAGCCCTGAGAAATGGAGAGGATATCTCCTGGGCTCTGCAGCAGCAGGAAATCACTGCTCCCTAAGTAGCCACTCCCCCAGTGCCTTCAGTGCATGCTCCATGCGGTAACCTGAATGGACTTCCTAGCGGCAGCTGGACTGGTTGCATTGATCAGACAAAGTGAAACACTTTCAGACCAGGTGCATTTAGTGATATCTAGATGATCAGAACATGTACATGTTCTAATGAAAATAGACTGTTCTGAGTGTACTGTGTCCTCCTCAGGCTCTACGCATAGACTGTTCTGAGTGTACTGTGTCCTCCTCAGGCTCTGCGCTGCTCATAACCTTGTCCTCCTACCCACCTCCTCTTTGTACTGTGAGCTGAATCCTGCAAAGTGCATAATGCCCATGACACTTGCTGATAACCAGGGCTCCACAAACTAGAATCTACTTGCCAGTGGCAAGCAGATTTCAGCCGCACGCCCCATTTACCGACAGCACATGCATGCGCAGTGCGGGGCTGGCAAGCGGCTTTCGCCACTGTTTGTCAAGCCCTGCTGATAACGCACACAGCCCTGCCAGGAGGGCAAGTGGTGGGATGGCTTGTTTGGGAGTTGGAGGAGGGAAACAACTTTAATTTTCGGAAGGGGTTCAGTCAGAGCCTGGCTGTGTAAAGATGTTGAGAGGCTGTGATAGCTGGAGGCTTCTCCCAGCCACAATTAGCAAGGCTAGACCAGAGCCAGAATAAACCACATTCGTCAAGCCCTGCTGATAACGCACACAGCCCTGCCAGGAGGGCAAGTGGTGGGATGGCTTGTTTGGGAGTTGGAGGAGGGAAACAACTTTAATTTTCGGAAGGGGTTCAGTCAGAGCCTGGCTGTGTAAAGATGTTGAGAGGCTGTGATAGCTGGAGGCTTCTCCCAGCCACAATTAGCAAGGCTAGACCCCAGCCAGCATAAACCACATTCGGGTTTGTCCCGGAGATCTGCTGGTGCCCTAGTATAGGGGAGGTTGCTGATTCTCTGTCCCACTGCAGCCTCTCCCCCATGGCCTTTCTCTGGATGGTGCCCACATGCTTTATCCTCTAGGATCTCTTAGTTGCAGTTTGTGACACACTTAACAGAAGAGTCCAACAAATGCCTATGATCAGGCACTACTAAAAGCTAACTATCAGTGGGCCCAATTGGGGCTCTGGGGGAACCAATTTTGAGATATAACCAATCCAGTTATTGAAGTTAGGAAATCAGTAGCATCCATGCAAAATTTGGTGTTTCTAGATCTTATTGTTTCTGAGATCTTTCAGGACAAACAAACACATTTTCAGAAATATTTAGAATATTGTTTGATAAACTATCATGAGAAAGTTAAAACATTTAATCTGTTCCATAATTTAAATTGAAGTGTTCTTACTAGCAGCAGCTGGTTCAGAAAATAGTCACCATACCCAGCTGGGTAGTTCTCAACCCTGCCCCTTCCTCTCGAGAATCCACCCCTTCTGGGTCGGCCTGCGACCACTTCCGAAATTTATGAAGTGGCCCCCCTTCCAAAATTATTGTCCACCCCGTGTTAGTGACTAATATGACCAGCACTTTGAGACATAGTCAAGATATCAGACACATCTGGGCATGATTTTCTGGAAATGCTTTTAATGGAAAAGTTTTCCGTTAAAAGCACTTTCGGAACAGAGCATCTAGACTGCCACAGACGCTTTTCTGCAAAAGCACTTTTTGCTGAAAAGCGTCCGTGGCCAACCTAGATGCGGTTTTCCGCAAAAAAGCCCCGATCACCATTTTCGCGATCGGGGCTTTTTTGCGGAAAACAGTATTGTGCTGTCTACACTGGCCCTTTTGTGCAAAAATCTTTCGGAAAAAGACTTTTGCCCGAATGAGAGCAGCATAGTTTTTCTGCAAAAGCACTGATGAGTTTACATGAGATCGTCAGTGCTTTTCCAGAAATTCAAGTGGCCAGTGTAGACAGCTGGCAAGTTTTTCCGGAAAAGCTGCTGATTTTCCGGAAAAACTTGCCAGTCTAGACACAGCAACTTGTTTGAGGTTATTATAGTTACACTTGCTCAACCCATCAACATAAACCATTTCTGCAATCAATTTTAGTTTAAAAGCATTACTATGGATAAGTTGTTACTGATAATGGCTGAATAAAATTATGTGGGTCAATACTATTGATTAAGGATATTAAATTTCAATTAATTAGCTAATTGAGTTAATAGACTTTTCAAT